ACCTGCCCGTCATCGGCGGCGGCGGCGGCGCGATACAGATCGCGAGCGGTGCTCTCGCGGGCCAACAGGTCAAGGCGCCGGTCTACAAGATAGTGACGGCTAAATCTAGCGAGCAAGTAACATCGGCGACGAGTGCCGGAGCGGCGACGGGAGCTACGGTTCTGCGACAGGCCGGCGGCAACGCTGGCATACCCGTCATCATCAAGAAAACCCCCGGCTCTGGCACCCAAACTTCCTCACCTCAGTATGTTACATTGGTAAAGACATCGACTGGAATGGCGGTAGCGACGATGCCAAAAATGACCATGATGCAAAATCGGCCAACGGTGCCGGTGAGTGCGGCGCAAGCGCAAGGAATAACCCAGGGCGCGACCATCGTAAAACTGGTGTCTGCGAACACTGTAGGGGGAAACAAAATCATTACCTTGCCCTCAAACATGCTACAGCTGAGCAAGCCAGGTGTCGGCGGGAAGCAGACGATCGTCATCACGAAGTCCGCGGGGCAAGCAACACAGCCGGGCCAATCGCAGTGAGCCTGTTCCCGCAAGTTTGTTATGTTAACATAGATACTAAATAAGAGGACTATATACACTATATTTTAAATTGTATGAGTTTTTTGTATGTTATTTCAGGGCGTCATTAAAAAGTTTATTGACACATTTTATTTACTCTGATATTTTTACTTTGTATAAGGATGTGTATGTGTGCATGCAGTAAGGTTGCGCTGCCAGAAATGTGTGCGGAGAGTGCTTGCTCTGCAGCAAGAAGCCAGTGGGACTGAATGCGGGCCTCCCAGCACTTCTCAGTATGCAATGTGAAACAGAGCTAAATGAGGTAAACCTATTCAAACTTTTTTGAATTTCACCAACAAAATGCATAAATTATTAAAATAAAATGTTACTTGTTATTTAAAACATCTTTATAATAACTATTATTAGGTTTTTAAAACATTCTATAAAACTGTTTGTTTAAGATTATGTACAACTGTTCTTTTTCTATATCTTCAATGTCCTTCATTTTTGATAATTTTCTTTTTGTGTGAATAATAATTTCTTTCTCACTGTGCATTTCCATTGTGGTGATACTTGTATTGAAACATATTATTTTCTCTGTTCCAAAAATGGGGTGGATTATAAATTCATTCAATGAAATTCTATAGAAGATATCAGACAGTGGAAGTTTCAGTGAGGGAAGTCTTCCGAACATCTACAATGTTTTGCTACAGACTAGTATGATTCAAGTGATTGTGTGTCTCATGTTAGTAAAGTAATATATAAACAAATGCTCTGTTGTTTGATGTCAAACCGGCTGCTGTAATGCAGGCACAAAGTGAACCGGTCAAACAAATGCAGCCGTTAAACTGTGCTCCCTTAGTTTTACTTAAATCATATGATAATTTAATATTATGCATTATGTTAGTTTTATGACAAGCAACAGTTTGTGACGGCCCTCGCCCAGGGCTACACCGC